AGCTCACTTCATCGGATGCATCCGATGCATCCGATGAAGTGAGCTGTAGCTCACGAAAGCTTATGCTCAAATAAATTAGTTATGAAGTGAGCTGTAGCTCACGAAAGCTTATGCTCAAATAAATTGGTTAGTCTCTAAGGTGCCACAAGTACTCCTTTTCTTTTTGCGAATACAGACTAACACGGCTGTTACTCTGAAACCTGACTTAAGTTAATGGTACTTAAGTATGTCCTTATGTGCTTTGCTGAATTGGGATGAACTTAAGCATATGCTTAAAGTCAAGCATGTTCTTGAAGTGAATTCAGACTCTAATACTCCCTCTATGCATCAGACAATTTTTAAAATCTTTTGGATACAAGGTTCTCATTTAAGGATCACATCCATTTTGTTACAAAGGTTTTTTGTTTTTCATTTAAGAAATAGAGTCCCCATAGGTCCAAACTTGGAAGTTTCAGCCACTGAGGTTTTATTATTGGCCTTCATTATTCCCAGACTAGATTGTTGTCAGACCTTGCTAGATGCATGCCCAATACATGTCAGATTACAGATCATGCAAAAGTCACCATCCAGGTCTACATTCATATATCAACCTATTTCCCTTCTTTGGAAGATATTACCGTTAATGAAGAGAGGGAATGGCAATGTAATAAAGGAGTAGAAAACATCAAACCATAAAGATGAAATACACACACATACAAGCAAAGCCAAATTTATTATGTTTCTGAATTCTGTCTGTTCTTGGTTAGTTAGGGACTTTAGGTGCAAGTTCCTCCTTATTCACTGGAGTTACTCCAGAATAGCATTCATATGTCTGAGTGAGAATTTGTCCTCTAACTATTTTGGCTTCTTCTCACCTGGCCCATTAACCTTTGTATTTAAGTTTCCTGTTGTTATTCTGATAGCAGAATCATCTAAAAGCCAAATGATCATTTTTGGAAATGAGAAGAGGGAGGAGAATGGGTGAAATGTACAATCCTTTTCTGATTTCTGATTTCTTTCCTTCTAATGTACCCTGCTTGGCTGCAGGAACTCTTACCTACGCCTCATTGCAGCAGAGTCGGTACAACAGCAGCAAAGTATGTGTACGTGTGTGGGATAGAAGCTGCTGCAGGAAGACAGGCTTTAAATGTGATAGGTTTTTGACCAAGAGGTCTTGCTTCCGCCTTCCCCTTGATGTTTGTCCGTGGTCCTCCGAGGATCCTGTGGTGATATTTTGCCAATTGTATAGTGTTTTTTTCACATTTGTCAGTATGTTAGTTCATTTATAAAGCAGATGTGCAAATCTTTTGAGTTTTAGTTACTCCAAGCAGTTTCGTCACTCCCCCAAGTATCATTAATAAATGTAACTCTCTACAGCTGGCCCCTCTACTCTAAGACACATAAATTAAATACAGCAGAGGACCTGTTGGACTCAATTTAATATTTCCCCAAGTTCTTCTCATCACAAATATTCTTAACTATCTAAGAACCAGTTCCTTTTCCATTCCCATGTCTTTCTGGATCTCTACAGGATACGATTCCAGCAACTGCCTGTCACATGCAGGTTTATTGCTGACTTTCTAAAGTTATCAGACTGTACTTGTAGACTTTGCTGGGGTTTCCCCAAGACCTCATCCACTTGGTTCCCCAAGAACTCAGTTCAAGTCCAGTCTCGACACTGGGGTTCCTTTATCTGGCATACAGCAAAGCTGCACTGAGTTGATCAGTATAGCACGTACCACACATTCAAAGTTACACAACAAATCTCTTCCGTTATATACATTTACGTATGACACCGCATTTCCTGTGCATTGCAGTGCACAGTATGGGACTGGCTTGGTCACTTTGTAGGCACCAATCCCTGCACAGCATGCACTGCCCATGCACAATTTACTCTTTACCTCATTTTATGTTCCAGGTTTATTTTATCATTGTTATCTTGGCTATTGTAAATGGCTCCCTGGGTGTTCCCCATTATTTTAGGTAGTACAGACATTCTGCTTCCAACCTGTTGATCCATTTACCTCCCTAATCCTGTCTCCCAACATATCAGGCCTCACCCAAGTCCAGTTACTCATGTCAAGCCAGGCCTACAGGCCTGTCACATCTTCTTGAACCCTCAGGTTGCCAGCTGCAGATCCTTGGACTTCCTCTATCAAGTATCTCTCTCTTTGCCTTTTATATCAGTGACAGGGGTGGCTGTTAGCTGAATAATTGCCTTTGTTTGAACTAATCACAGTTAATGTCTTAAGAAGATGTTCAACATCTAAGTTTCAGACTACATTTACCAGAGACATTTGTTATTCCTATTGGTAGCATCTGTAGAACTGAATGAATATCATAAGCCAAAAGAAGCCAACATTTCTAATTGGGTTTTCTCTCCAAAGAGTTTTATGCTTCCAGGTTGGGAGCATGGGGATTAACATGTAACTTCACACTAATGGACTTTGCTTTCACTACCACTAAATATCCCTTGCTGCACTAAGATGAGGAAAGATTACTGTGCCCCCACTATTCCTGAAGTTTATCATAGAATAAAAATCTGAACATGTAAGTACAGCATGGTTGGAGTAAAAATGTACATATATTGGATGCTCTGTCTTTGTCTTTCAAGAATAACCTCCTCCTCATTGCTGGTCATGTCTGTGACAGTTACGGCAATTTCCTGCCGTATCTTGGACAAACCTTATTGAATTAAGTTTTAAGTATGTTTGGAGTTCATTGTATTTAAAAATGCAAATGTTTATATATTATTGTGGGATTGCATGCAAAGCCTCTAGCGGGGAGACATGACTGGGAAGTATTATGAGCTTCAAAGGCTATTTGAAACAACATGCCAGACAAGAATTAACTTTTAAAGTTAAGTGGGTTTCCCAGAACATCTCTAGGGGGAGATGTATGCAAATATACCCGCTCTGGTGATGCAAGAACTCAGCCTTTTGAAGCTTTACCTTGAGGACAAGATCAGAGGCTCAAACCATATAAAGGAATGACTCTCAGATTCAGGGGAGGAGGGCTTGTTCTGAGCAACAGATTATGAACTTGTGACCACAGAAAAACCCGTTGGTGGGGTTTGAAGGACTGACTCCTAACAAAGTCCTTGATGGAATTGGGGTGATCTCTAGTAAGCTTGTTAGCATGCTGTAGGTTCTTTTATTGGTTTAATGTTTTCTCTGTAATGCTTTCACCTTAAGAATAAAGGTACTACATAGGAAAATCTGTGTGGTACCTTATAATTGTGGGAAATTACATTGTTTACAGCCTCTGAGGAGAAAAGCAGTGCAGACCTGCTTAGGCAGTCTGACTTGCTGGGGAGCTCACAGAGAAGGCAGGGAACCGTGCAGCCTGGAGAAACCCTGCTCAGGATAGGGAGAGACGAAGGTGAGGTGCAGCTGGGGAACTGGAAGTCTGACGGTGGGGTCCCTTAATGGACCATCGAGGGGAAATACAGACCCAGTTGCCCTGAATTGAGACATTTAAAACAAATGTATTTAGAAAGTAGGAACAAAAATGTGCCCACGGTAGACTCCAACATGTATTTAAGAATTTATCCTAGCATCCTCTACGAAGCCATATGGGCACTGTACATCAGTAAAAACTATCAATTAACAGAATGGAATAGATGCTACTTCATAATAAACAAAAATCACATTATTTATTTAGATCATCCAAGAATAGAGCTGGATGAAAAATTTCCATAAAAACTGTTCACTTTCCAGGGAAAAGTTTTAGTTTTCGGTGAAAACTTTTATCTCAGAACTTCTGGTTTTTGGCTGAATTTTTTTAGTTTTCAGTTTTTTGACAATAAGTCAAAATTGTCTGTGGAAAAACAAAGCATTTTCTAGCCATTTTGATCCAAAAACCAAACTATATAAATATTTTTGCACTGTGACTTGAAGCTTGCCAAACTTATAGGAACATAGCTTGTGTATCAAAGCTCAGCAGACCTCTTCTAATTTCAATATTAATAGGTCATTAATCTGTTTAAATCTCCATAAATCTGTCTTGGTACGGTACCTAGAACAATGGAGTCCTAATCCTGATTGCAGCCTTTGGTACTAGTGCAATACAAACAATAAGTCATAAGAGGAAAAATCCTGAATGAGACTTAACTCCTGCTCTTCTGGAAATGTCCATTGATTCAAAATTCTGGAACAAGGTACTTTAATTTATGAAAGATGTCCTTTACGTAGAAGGTGCTATGGTAATTCCTGCAGGTAGTGATTATTTATAATTTAAAAGTTGATACTGTGCACAAGTTACAAGACCAGATTATACAATCATAAAATTATGAGAAACAATGGATGTCTCATGGTCCCCTAAAATAGACTCATGGTTTAAAATGACCCTGGCAGTCCTGTCTTATTAAGAAAAGGCACCTCAGAACTCAGTTTTAAGACAAGGAATTCTATACCATATGTTCTGTTATGGTGGATTTTTCATCTGCCAGATTTCAGCAGACAATGAGGGCACTCAATGAATAATCTGAATTCCAGTCAACTAAGATCTGATTGCCAGAACATTTTACAGCTCCCTTCACACTCAGCTAAACGTGTACAAAAGTCCCTCTGTTTCTACCCTGGTCATTTTACATCAAGGAAAAAAAAGGGGGAGGCAACAAGGAAAGAAGCAGACAGAAAGGACAACTTTATTCTGGAAATCTCATGATTTAATGAACATGACCAATGGACACATTGGTGCCTATTTCATGCCTACTTCATTTGTGGTTTGTGTTGGTTGAAGCTGGTGAGCTCTTCTTCAACAGATCTTCTGTTATGTATATTGCATTCCTCAAAAAAAAAAAAGGCAATATAAAAATTACATTTAAAGCATGAAGAAAAGAAGTACTTGTGGCACCTTAGAGACTAACAAATTTATTTGAGCATAAGCTTTCGTGAGCTACAGGTCACTTCATCGGATGCATTACACTGAATGAATCCGATGAAGTGAGCTGTAGCTCACAAAAGCTTATGCTCAAATAAATTTGTTAGTCTCTAAGGTGCCACAAGTACTCCTTTTCTTTTTGCGAATACAGACTAACATAGCTGCTACTCTGAAACCTGTCATTTAAAGCATGGAAATTCACTTTATACCACTGTTTGAAGTGAGAATCAAAAAAGAAAGAGAGAAAAGTAAAGATAAGAATGGGGTTTGAAGGGATGATAATAAATATGTTTGGGAGGAGTATCATATTTAAATGTAAACTCTTTCGGGGAGTGTGATGGGGTATCCACCCCACACAAGGCAGAGCAGGTTAAATTAGGTCAATTAACCTGGTAGGCTGCACCTTAGAGAAGATTTAGGCTTGCAGAGGGAACACAGCTGGGAAGGATGGAGGAAGTTGAGAACAGATGAGTTCTGCAGGGGAGTAGTCTGCAGTCACTCCTTGGGACAAGGAAGGTGTGTTTGGGGCTACAGAGTTTGGCAAGAAACCTGGAGTTGCAGACTGTCTGGAGTGGTCTGAGGACAGCTGATCTAGTGGGATTTTGATACTTTGGAAGGGGAAGGTGGTATAGTGACTTGCCTGGAGGGCTGAGTCATGAAAAGGGAGCACTTGAGTCCAGGGGGCAGGGCACAGTGGGAGGAAAAGGGCATCAGACCTGAGTGGAGCTAATCCTCAGACCCAACCACAAGCAGGCACTCAGCAGTAAGTGAACCCCATTACAGGCAGGAACCATGTCTTTGTTATATGTTTGGTCAGTGCCTATTATAATGGGGCTGGACCTGTAGGTGCTACTGAAATATAAACATTTAACAACAACAACAACTATAATCATCATATGAGACTCTACCAAATGAAGTTTAGTCCTGTCTCATGAGGTCTTTGATAATGTGGCTTTCTCTTCACATGTTTGTTCACTTTTGTCTTGATGTGCACAACTCCATAGTGTCATACGTCACAGCATTTGCTTTGTATAAAAGATGACATTGGAAAGATCCTAAAACTCCCCCATTCTCAGCGTGGAAGGTGGCATTTGTATGTAGTGTATTGTAAGCTCTTTGGGCCAGCGACACACTCTTTTTGTTCTGAGTTTGTGCTAGATACTATACAGTCCTGGTCCTGGACTAGGCTCCAAGATGCTATGATAATACAAATACTGTACACTCCATGAAACACCCTACCAAGGAGAAACAACTTAATCCTATTCGCTGAATCCTGGGATCTTCTGCAAGACATCTTTAGCAGCGGCCCATGGAACATCCCTTCATATTCACTTAAGGGAGCATGCCACCTGTTAACTGAATAGCATCACTTCCTGCAGCTCACAGGATTTCTTGGTAAGTTTTTCACTCGAGTACTGACCTGGCCTGAACCTGCTTAACTTTTGAGACCCCAAATGAAAGTGCTATGGTTATAGTAAGCAATCAATGTCTGACCATCAGGGCTTAATTTGTGCCAGGGCTGAGCCCCAGCAACTCTAGGCTTGACAGTGCATAGCTCCATTACAAATTAAGCAGTGCTGACCATCAATTACCTTCCAAGGTGTTGCTTGCTGAATAAGCTGTTTGTAGTAATTACTTCACTTGAAATTGGTTTTGAACCAATTATAATGCCTTTCAGCTGTGGCTGGAAATACAAACATTGGCATTCTCTTGTGTTGCATTGGCCTCTGCATTTTGACTTCATACCTCATCATTTAGTAACTAACAAGCTAATTATAAGGGACTAGGTGTGTGAGAATCTTTTATTGGATCCACCTTGACTTCCCAATATCCTGGGATTGCAGAGCGGCAAGTACACTGCATAAACTAATTATAAAAACAATTCAATCTGTCTCTAGAATTTGTAGCTTGCTAGTGCCCTAAAGGCCTGAATCTGCAAGGTGCTGAGCACTTGACAGTCAACTCATACTGAAGTAAATCACGGTTGATGACAGGAGGCAATCAGCACATTTGCAGATCAGTCCCAAATTGCATACAATATGAGAAAGCTTAGTAGGATATTCTTGCTGAGAAGTTACCTGGATTTATAGGAAACATCTTGCATATTTGTAATCACAATTTTCTTTTTTACAGAAGTGCTCAGTTGAACTTGCCCATGCTTCTGTGGATTATTCTTCAGCTTCTGGAGCTGCTAGTTACTTGGTGGCAATAGTCTGCAATGCTAAGTTTTTTTACCCATCAAAAAGACATTTTGATCTTTTCACTGCTGAGATTAAAGCATCTCCCTGAAGCATTTTTTTTTCTCCCCTGTTGTGGAATTTTCTCTGTGAACAAAGCTATCATTAATGTGTAAGTTGTAGATCAATGTAGTATCTGTAGCTTCCCTGTAAAAGGTTTATTTACAGCTGAGATAAGATTATGGGCTCTCTTGCAAGTTCAAAACAACAATATTCCACATCCAATAAGATTTAATGCTTTTCAGCCATAGATTGAAGTCCATGAGAGACAGATCACTATCCTGTTTTTTATATAGATGATATACAGACATAAAAATGAGTATATTTGAATGGTACTTGCATTCTGTTTAAAAATGTTATTGTGCTGGGTTCATCTTCATTTACTATCCTAAAATGGTTGCAGCTGGGGATTATGTAATAACCCAAAGAATTTTGCTGCTGATATTGGATGAAGGGACTAATATAAGCTTCTGCCATGCCTTTTCCTTCTTGACCAAGTTCTAGCCCATAGGTGGGACAATTCTTCTTGATTTTCCACTCACCTTTCATTCAGTTTCTGAGCCATCTTCATGTATATGACTAGAAGGAGAAGGGAATAGTTTTGGAGTCTTTCTATTTTTTCCTTTTGTGTATATCAGAATAACACTTTCTCACATTTTTGGCTTATCGGATTTACAGCATGCCTCAGTGTGTTCAATCAACTGAACATTTCAAGCATCCAAGCTTTAATTTTTTTCCTTAATGCAAGTTCTAGAGCATCAGTTCTCAAACTATTGGGTGGGTCTCCCAAAGGAGGTTTGGGAGATGTTAAGGGAGACATGAGCTGTGTGCAATTTTTTTTTTTAAGAGCGCTGGTTGTCAGCCCCAGGTGGCTAGGTCTCCTGCAGAAGGGCCATGCACACCAGGGAGGTGGGGATAAAGAGGGCAGCTGGAGTCCCACTGCCCCAGGGCGGGCTGCCACAGACCCAATCCCCCATGTGGAGGCAGTGGGTCTCTGGCTGTCAGCCCTGGATGGCAGCAGTAGCGCAGAAGTAAGGGTGGCAATGAGGTTCTAAATCCACTGTGAAAAGTGATAGTGACGAATATCACTTTTTTTCACACTGCCACCCTTACTTCTGTGCTGCTGCTGCTGGTGCAGCGCTGCCTTCAGAGCTGGGCGCCCGGCCAGCAGCTGCTGCTCTCCGCTCTGCCTTCAGAGCTGGGTGGCGGTATATGTACTTGTGGTTTATGCCCCCCTCTCCCTACTACAGAAGTAAAGGGGGCCCGATCAAATAAATTAGAGAACCACAGTTCTAGAGGCTCCAATCCCCTTTCAGTTCCAGCGTAGTAGAAGTGTCTGTGTTTAGCTACAGCTTCTAGCTAAGAGGTTTCAGCTAGAAGCTGTTAGCCCCATTGAGCTTTTTGCCTGAGTGGATATTCCACAGTCAGGCAGTGGTGTAACAAACTCCTGAATAATTCCTAAAAAAGAGAGAAGATTTTTCCTAATCTGTTGCATGCTAGTAAATTAATTTGGGAGGGGGGGTGGGTAACCTAAAATATTAGCCTTTTCAAAAAGATAAATTGCTCACAAAAACATTGATTATCTCAGAAAACATTAAATAGTAAGTGTGGAATGCACCAATGGACATATGCATTGCAACTCTGAGCATCATGGTGCCTAACTTTAAGACACCTAGAAAATCACAAGAACAACACTGCAATCCACAAAGCTCCCTATATGATGAATGGGGAGAGAGAAGTGCTTAAAAATGTGATCCACAAACTTAGCATGTTAGGCACCCAGTGCTGGTGCTAGCCCTTTGGGGGTCCTAAGGAAGAATATTTTTGCCCCCCCTTCCCCAAACACATACTAATAATTACTAGGGGCCCCAAGCAATTGCTTAGTCTGTTTATGCCTAGCTCTGGCTCTGTAGGCAGTTCTGTGCCTAAGCCAGCCAAAGGCAGATGCTGACCTGTCCTAAACCCTGCTCCTCTCTCTCTCTGAGATAGATGCTATCCTACAGTCTAGACTTAGGCACCAATATCTGCTTTTACCATTACTAGCTATTACCAGCAGGACAGTGGGGTGGGAGGAGGTATTGTTTCATATTCTCTGTGTGTATATAAAGTCTGCTGCAGTTTCCACGGTATGCATCTGATGAAGTGAGCTGTAGCTCACGAAAGCTCATGCTCAAATAAATTGGTTAGTCTCTAAGGTGCCACAAGTACTCCTTTTCTTTTTGCGAATACAGACTAACACGGCTGTTCCTCTGAAATCTAATATCTGCTTAGTGATCCATGAACTGGAATCAGCCACCTGGAGTCAGGCGTCTTAGGTATATAAGCCACTACTTGATGTAGTGAGTTGGATACTTGCTCATAAAAATGGCTGGAGAAGAGGATGGTGCTCACTTTATAATATTTAACTCACTGGTTAGAGCGTTCAGATGCAATGTGGGAGAGCCAGGGTCAAGTCTCTCTCTCTCTGTCTCTGTCTCTGCCAGAGTGGGAGACAGGATTTTAACAGGGAGTCTCCCACCTTACAGGAGAGTGCTCTGGTCACTGGACTGTGGGATATTCTGATATGGCACTTCATCAGTCTCCTATTCCATTGTGGATAAATAATGAAAGAGTGAATGAAGCAGGAGGACTGGACCAGGGTCTTCCACCCCCCAGGTGGGTGCCCTAATTACTGGACTCAAGAGTCACTCACTCTCTCTCTCTCTCTCTCTCTGTCATTGAGCCAGAGATTGAGACTGTCGGCACTCTGTATATGGTGCTTTTCATCAATGGAGTTCAAAGGTAAACAAGCAATATTTCTGTTTTACAGATGCAGAAATGGAGATGCTGAGATTGTCCAACCAAAGTCAGATGGAGTCAGTAGCAGAGCTGTGAATGTAACCTGAGGCTCCATGCTAGGGAGAATTGACCAGCTTTCCATCTGTTATAAAGTGTAGTGGGTGAATATTTTAAAAATAAATATCCAATGTAGAATAGCTTCATCCTCTTTAAAAAAAAAATTATGCTCTTGCCCATAGCGTAATCGTTTTACATTAAAAAAAGGAGTACTTGTGGCACCTTAGACACTAACCAGTTTATTTGAGCATAAGCTACAGCTCAATGCATCCGATGAAGTGAGCTGTAGCTCACGAAAGCTTATGCTCAAATAAATTGGTTAGTCTCTAAGGTGCCACAAATACTCCTGTTCTTTTTGCGGATACAGACTAACACGGCTGCTACTCTGAAACTAGTTTTACATTGTATTTGTTGCATACTGTGGATGTTTATTCTGAGGTATAGTTCTGATGTGTCATTATTTATGAATCCATAGACATGCAGCCTTTCAGGCATTCTTTCACAAAAAGTGGAATGGCCTTTAAAGCTTGTAACGTCACAGGAGACTTCTGCAGGATTCCACAGAAAATTGTAGAAGAATGTGTTGGCCCAGTTGGCCCTGTAATTGCGTACAGTATGATCTTGCAAGCAAACATGTAAAAACCCATCACCAGGAGTGTGAGCTCTCTAAACAATTGCCTGCATCATCCAAGATTTCTGCAGCAGGAATTGTCATATCATTTGGCCCTCCTTATCTACAAATGAGCAATTAAATCTGGGCTTCCCTACTGTACTATGAGTTGTGGTTTTGCTCAGAGCAGAGAAAAGGAGGGACAGTACAATAGAGAATACTTCTATCTTGTGTAGTGATAAGTTTTAGTTTTTGTTGAGTCTTGAGTATAGGGAAAGGAGCAGGGAATGTAGACTTTTGATCCTGCAGTGGATTGTTATGGGGGAAGGAGGTTACTTTGATGGAGGGTTGCGTGGCAAGGTTTACGTGCATACAACCTCCCATGCCTCTAGAAACTGAGGCTCATGGGGGTTAGGTGGGGAATCACTGGGATGGGTGCAGGCCTGAAAAGATTGGAGGGTATCAGAACTATGGGAATGAGACTCATTGAGGTGGGAGTTATGAGGGGAGTGAGGTGGGAGGAGGGGTAATGCAGATGGCTTTTGCAACATGCCCTGGGATTCTTTACTCATGAACCCATCTGCAGTATCTACTCCCTTAAAATTCAAGAGGATTAAACTGTATTGCCTTGAGCTGGGGACATACAGGTTTTAAGGTGAATGGAAAAAGATTTGATACCAGTTGTAGTGGGTATCTGAAATCACTTTTAGGCATGGCAGCGGACAAGCTCAGGGGAAAGTGACATAAATGTGGTCTCAGTGTGTACGAAAAAGCATTTTTTACAAAAATGGGAGCAGAACTCTGAACTTATTAAACAAAAACAAATACTTCATACATCTTCATGAAAATGTTTTTGAAGCTTTGGTTAAACAAACTCCATATCTTGAACCTCTTATTTGTGATCAGTGACCACTTGCAGAAATCAGCTGTTCAGGATTCTTAAATTATTGCTCCTAACACTTCCCCACCTAATCAAAACAGACCCTCTTAATCTAGCTTCTGCTTCAGTTGAGACCTAGGAACAGGTTTTCCCTAGGTAAATGATCTCTGGATTGCTTGTCTCTCAGGAGAAGGCATTTGACAGGGTAAATTGTGGGTATCTCATGGGCACTCTGCAAGTGTTTGGCTTTGGTTCCATCTTCATTGGGTTCCTCCATTGGGTTTGCTTCTATTGAGTGTCTAGCTCAACTGGGTCCTGACCATGCCTGGCACCCTCCATCAAGGGGTGCATCAGGGCTGTTTGCTGTCTGGCTTGCTACATGCCATCGAGGCCTTCCTGTAACCATGGACTTCTGATCATCATCTGGCTGGCTCCTGTCAACAGTCCCTGTGACATTTGCTTTCCCATTCCTTAATGTTGGTGGAGTCCCAGTGCAGCACCACCATACTATGTGTTCCTCCTCATCCCCCTTTTTTCTTAAAGATAAAGAAGAGAAGGAAAAAACAGTTAAAGCATTTGAAATGGAAAGTATTAAATAAGACTTTCATTTTTAGCTACTTTTCTTTCCCTTTAGCTAGAGAGAGTCTTAGAAAGCACAGCCTCCATGTTTGACAGTCTCTTAGATGGTATCAATTCTAGTAATAAGTGTCCTTTTTCCCCAAAAGAGAGGAAGTTAGCTGAAATGGGCTGGAGCTGTCTTTTTTTAAAATCTGATCCCATTTCCACCTAGGTGGTGGTGGAATTCAACTGGAGCCAGTAGGCAATTTTATTTGAGTCCCTCCCTCTGGCCTGGTCAAGACATCTCTCAGGATTAGAATGCTAAAGGCCGAGGATCTTCGGAGATGGTGGGGGTTGAGTTACGATGGTGAATCTTGCTCCAGTAGCCTTTCTCCCGCAATGTCTCTCTCTGGTGGCCAGAAAGAGGGGATGGACAATTATCTGGTCCACCAGTTAGGCCTACTGTCCAACAAGCCTGTTTGGGTTCACTGATGTCTAGTTTCATGTGTTTTCTGGTTTACCAAGCATGATCTTACTACAGTCCTTGAGTTATAGCAGTAGGCCTTTGTCTGTCTTCCTTTCATATTTTTTCACATCAATATTTGTTATGACATCTTATTAACGTCAAAGTCCTTTTTATAGTTGATCTCGTAATTAGAATAAATGTGCAGATTCCATTATTACACACTGAGCACAACAGCCCCTCATGGAGTAGGACAGGGGACAATAAATTTCCCCTCCTGGGGGTTGTACCCCAACGAAGGAAGGATGTCTGCACTGTGGGAGGTGGAAGAAGAGCAGCTGGGAGTGGGATTGGTGTCCCTGGTGGCTATACTGTTGGGGGCAGCTCCACCTCTCCACACACAGGTGTTAAAGGGGCTGGGGGCTCCTCTAGAACCTGGGTACTGGGTGCCATGATGAACTCGGTGCCCAAGGCTTTGGCATTGGATGTTATAGTGAGGATCTCTGGTAGAGCACCACAAAGGACCCCGTGACTGAATGCACCCCTTTATTACAGTGGAGCGTAGGAGGTGAATAATCTTTGTACAGAATATTCCCTGTAAGGTATCATTTGAAAACTAATAACTCACTAGTCAATCATCATGATGAAACGTGTGTAGCAACATTGTATGTAAAGTTATGCATTTCCCTGAATGATGTGAGTGGCAAATGTTCAAACACATGCATCTCTGATTAGGCAGAACTGGTCAAGCAGGTCTTAAACAAAGGAATTTTGTTTACCTCAGCGTACATATAGGTGGTAAACAAGGTCCTTGAAACAGAGGGAGACAAAGTAAATCTGCATTTCAGCAAACAGCCTGAAGCCTCTTTCAACAGCAGGAATGAACTTTAGGAGTAACCCTCAAGAAAATGCATTTCAAAGGGAACTAAACTATAAAAGTGAGGGGCAGAAACACCCCAGATTCTCTTTCCTTATCCATCTGTCTCTTCACTTAAGATGACAAAAGAAACAGCCAGTGAACTTTGGGAGCAGATACTTTGGTCCAAGAATTTGGTCAGGAATGTTACTGAAAACCTGTGGTGAGAACTTCACTTTAAACAAAGTCAAGTTTAAGTTTAGAAAGAGTTTTGTCTCTATTTTTCAAGTAACCATTTCTGACTTTAATGCTTTGTTACTTGTACTCACTCAATAGAACTACAAAGAGATGGATTTAAACTTGTTTTATTCCTTAATTAAAACTAATCCAGGGTTGTGAATTGTTTGGGTATCGCCTTTTAGCAGACTATATGCCCATAACCCCTTAGAGGGGCTCTGGACCCAATCTATCTGGACTGTCCAGGAGAGGGCAGGACAGTGCAGAACACATATTTTGGGGGGAAATCTGGGACTGGGTGTGTGTTGGGGTCACCCTGAAAGTAGTAACTAAGACTGCTGGAACCCAGCATGTGGCGGGAGTTAGCTGACAGGCTGTTGGGGTAAGAGCTGCTGGACCAGGGCTGTGGCTATACGCAGACACTCGGGGCAGGACCTGCATGCTGTTTGTGAGGAGCCCAGTTTGGGAGTTACAGTAGTAAAGCATAGTAAGGCATTCCAGGTTGCAAGGTAAGTGGTGACACAGCCCCTCACTCGTCTGGATAGCACCCAGGAAGGTTATAATCCCTCCAGGCTACCTCCATCATGCACTGCTGGTGACAGCTGGAGGGTAACTTGCCAATGGAATAAAAGCACATGACAGAGGGGTGGGAACCTTGCAGCCCAGTGGTAAAGAGTGGAGGGGGAAGACCAATTTCCTGAGGGTAGACAGGGGAAGTAGGAAGTAGCACTGAGGAGGAATGGCAGTTTGGATAGAACTACCCAAAGGCTCAAGGGGAAGGAGAGACGCTTCTCTATCACCTCCTGGGCAGTAACCTCTGATACCAGGAAGAAAATGACTTTTCCCCTATGTCTTGGAGGCTACCACTCTGGCCATGGGCCCCACCACCCCTACTAATGCCTGCATATAAGCTACAGTGTGGGCTAAGGTGGCCACCAGGAGGCAGCAGACACTGTGCCTCTTGGGCAGGAGCTCTGGCCACTGTAGATGGAGAGAAGGTGGCAGAGGTGGACTGAGGGAGCATGGCAGACAGCAGTGGGGCTGCGGCCACTTGAGCACACTCCCTAGGGGCTGAAGGGTGGGGGGCTCCCAGAACTGGTGGAAGAAGGGGAGTAAAGGAAGATTCTGGAAGTGAACTGCTGGCTAGGTAAGTGGTGTAGGGTGGAGGGGTTTGGTTTTGTAGAACCGTTATCTTCTAGGGGGATGGGATGGGATTGTTTGGATGGCCTCCACCTCAGTAGAAGGGTGACCAGTCTTCTCAGGGACAGGCTGGCTAGCATAGGCAGGAGCATGTTAAACTAAAACAAAAGGGGAGGGTAAAAAAAGTGATGATATGAGCGCATAACAAAATTAAGATGTTGGGAACAAAATTAATCAAACAACATGAAGACAAGAAATTGTTTAATTGCTTATACTGTACACTGATGCTAGGAATCTAGGTAACAAACAAGAGGAATAAGGATTTTTAAATTTTGACCTAGTTGGTATTACTAATAGCTGGTGGGATGAGTCCCATGATTCGAATATTAAAAATCAATTTTTTATAATCTATTTAGGAAGGACTGAGTGGGCAGAAGGGAAGGGGGCATTACACTCTGTCAAAAATAGTATTACCTGTTTGAGACACTGGTAAGTTGGAAGAATATGATCCTGAATGCATATGGATTAATGTCCTAACAAATAAAGCAGAAATGGGCTGTAGCAGACACCAACTGATCCCCACCAGATCACAGAGGGAAGTGGTTGATCACCTCCTTATGCACCTAGCTTTTTTTCCCCTACACATCATAGAAAAGTGATTATGGGGGACTTCAATGTGAGTGATGTGCTGGAGATCTTATATTCCCCATACTAAAATATCCTTTGCATTTCTAAATATTATAGATGACAATTTCCTCCTTCAAAACATTTTGCATTCAATAGAGAACATACTACTGACAGATGAAGAGGAATGGATTACAGAACTAAAAATGAACGACGCCTTAGATATATGATCATGACTTGTTCACATTTATACTGTGCAAACGGAATAAAGTTCAGACCATGTAGAGTGGAACCTTGATTATCTAATCAAATTGGGACCAGGGCCAGATCAGACAATCAAAAATTAAGATAGGAGAATGGGTGGGGCTTAGTTAATAGGGAGTGCCTGATAATGAAGGCTCAGACAAACAGTGTTCAACATGTAGTTGGTGCTTTAAAAAGGACTGTTTCAGAAAGGTGAAAACAACTGTGAACCAAATCAGCTGGGAGAAAGAATTTAATCAGAAAAACAGGAATGACAATTTGGAATTGTTTAAGATCATTTTACTACATGATTCAAAAGCCAGGTCCACCATTAATGAGGCTGACAACTCCCTTGGGGTTGCATGGTGGGGGGGACCAGAAACATAAAATGGAAGGGTAATCAAAACCAATGAAGGGGGAAGGGGGATTAAAAGAAGCACTGTGGGAGAAAAATCCGCTCACCAGGCTGCACTGGGGGGCATACGAGTGGGGAGGGTGCAGTGAAGGGGGGGAAATGAAACAAAGGGGAATCCAAAGTGCGGGTGGAAAGGGCAACCAGGCTCAAGGAGCAACACACAGCAGGTGGGCGTGGCAGGGGAAGCAACAACAGCTGCAGGAGTGAAGCGACACGGGGGGACTACGCGAAGGGAGCAGAGACCAGCAAAGGGACAAGACACAACCAAAGGAGAGAGTGAAGGGAGATGGAGCTGCAGGGGGTGGAGGCGGTGTGGGGCTGTGATAGGCAGCAGGACCCCCAGGCCCGCCGGAGCCTCACCAGCCCCGTGCAAGCAGACGGACGGAAGGGAGGGAGGGACCGACCGACCTCGGAGGGGGAGCACGTGCGCCCAGGTCCACGGGCGCATGGGAAGCAGGGGAACGCTGCAGCCGCAGGGCGGGGGGAGGCGGGCGGAAAGCGCAGCGCCCTGGGGTGCGGGGAGGGCTTCATGCCTCTCCACCTCCCCCTGCAGCAGTGAACAGCCGCCGCCGCTGCCTCGTGCGGCCGGCCTGAGGGAACCTCCCCCAAACCTGAGATGGGGGCGGAGCCGGGGATCCCGGTCAGCACAGGGCGCGCGGTGCCCGCAGCCAGGATCCCCGCGGTCCATCCACCGCCCCCAGCCCGCCCCCCCCTGTGCACTGCCCCTCACGCCCCTCTCCGCGCCCGGGGCACGCCCCCCCTCGAGCGCTGTGTGTGTCCCTTTAAGAGTCGCCTCTCGGCGTCCCACGTGTGCGATCAGCTGATGGTGACGCTGCGGGGAGAGCGCCCCCCAGTTCCTGAAACATAGGGCGCTGCGGGCTGCACAGGCTCAGGGCTGGGCTGGGCTGTCCCGGGCGCCTCCCCCGCCGAGTCTGCTCCGCGCGCTCCGCTGGCCGTCGCGGGGAGAAACCTGCAGGGTTAGTCTGGCTGGCGGCGGCGAGGGAGGTAGTGACAGCCCCAGATACCCGCTCTCTGCCCGGGGAGGCGGTGCTGGGGGGGACCTTCCTGCCAGAGACCCAACCCGACCCCATCCTACCCTGCTGGGACCGTCCTGCCAGGAACGGAGCCCCCTGCACCCCTCCTCTGTGCAGTAATAACAAAGACCACCCACCGCGCTGGGACCTTCCCTGCTAGCTGCAGAGACCTCACCCCTGGGACCCCACCCTATGCCCCTGGAACCCCTCCGCTCAGTAGCAGTGCCAGAGACCACTGCACCTTCCTGCCGGCAGCAGGGACCCTTCGTGTCTCCTCTGAGATCTTCCTAGCAGGAGTAACAGAGACCTTCCTGATACCCAGGGAGACTTGCTTCCTCCCCTTTGCACCCCAAAGACTTTCCTGCAAAGAACGTTAGAGACGCCAAGCTTCAGAGACCGGTTAGCAGCAGAGACCTTCCAGCCAAAACTCCTCCTGAATAGCTGCAGACCCACTCAACCCTTTACAGTCTTGAGACGTTCTGGCAGCAGAGACCCACTCCCCACCTAAATCCATCCGAGAGGAGCAGAGAGCCCCTTGGGACCCCAGAGCAACAATAGATCCTCTCTATTCACCAGTACATGGATTATCTGGTAGGTATTGGGTGTAAATTGTGTGCTTCCCCTCCTCCCCCGCTCTCCTTTCTTTCCTGTCTTGCATCCTCATGGTAAATTGGCTCAACCAGACATGTTATAGAATACTCCATTATAATTACATTTACTTAGAAAATCGCATTTGTTGCCACATAGTGTTTTAAAGGCTTTTATTGGAGACTGGTGGAACCCTAAAGTGAGTAAGTAAAAGACCAACTTTAAATCAGCTCTCAGAACAGTTTTACAACATTGGAGAAATATCATACTTTATCAGGCTTAGAATTATGAGGCAGAGCCTTCTCTGGATTATTGACACTGTATTAAAAATTTCAGAGTAGCAGCCATGTTATCCTGTATCCGCAAAAAGAACAGGAGTACTTGTGGCACCTTAGAGACTAACAAATTTATTTGAGCATGAGCTTTCATGGGCCCACTTCACACACTCACACACACTTTTAATACAGTGTCAATAATCCAGAGAAGGCTCTGTGGGGTAATTCTAAACCTGGTTAAAATATGATCTTTCTCCAATGTTGTAATCTGCTCTAAGGGCGCACGCATGTCTAAATTGTGTGTATGCCCTGAGAACTTTTCCAATATGTCCTTGCATGAGTTCCTGATTGGGAAATGGAGTATTTCTCTTGTTCGATCTTTATCACTCTTACAGAACTATTAAAGGCCAATAAACCAGAATGGTTTTGCTAAAGTGCTCTGTAGCCCCACTCATTTGGTTGTTATTAGATCTCTAAAGTTATGACCTAGGTCACTGTTTTTTTCCTAAATGCATTAACATAGGATATGGTTGAATGAACTAAATTGTAACCTTGGACATGACCAGTACTGCACTTGAGTAGTTTGGTATTCACAAGTAACTCTAATGTTGCTTAATGAATGTTTCCTTTCTTTGTCTGCAAAGATTGTATCACAGGTGTATACTTCAGGCCAGCGTGGTAGTTAACTTGTTCATGCTCTAATGTATGGGTCACTACCAAGAAAATGTACCAAATGGCTAGGCTATGTAGTGAGTTGGATAGTCACATTTTAATGAGATTCCTGCTTAACTGATTTCTTAAATTTTAAAATGGGAAACTAATGAACATTCTCTCTCCATTCAACTCAGTTTCATATTTTTTCAGGGTGTTATGGTTTTACTTCTTGTTTATTAGTAAATATTTTAAATAAAAAGCAGCTCTCTTCTTGCCATTCCATCTTGTAGGAAGATGTCAGTGTCCCGTGAGATGAAGGAGGGGTTTTTTTCTTGGCTTTGAAGCTGTAATATTTATCTAGTTCTATCTTACACATGACACACAATTGTGAGTTTTAGAGATTGTCTTGTTGACTAGTGAGCAAGACCTCTCTGTCCTTTCTGTTGCAAGGTTGGATCATTGAAATGAAAGCACCCTCTAACAGCTGACCTGATTTTTTTCTCTGCTGATGGAGCTGGGGGGGGGGGGGGAGGGGCACTATATTCAACATTTACCTAAATGTTGGGTTTGAATACATGCAGCTTGGACTTATTTTGGAGTGGAAATGCTTTATTTAGAGACTTCATGTTTTTAAACATGTTGTATGCTAGGCTTGAGTCGGGCTGGGGGGGGGGAGAGCTCTGTATAATTGAAATGATAGGTAAAAAGAAAAGGAGTACTTGTGGCACCTTAGAGACTAATCAATTTATATGAGCATAAGCTTTCATGGTAGGTAAAGTTCTCTTTAAGAACCTAGTTAATGGAATACTGACAGTGAACTTGCTGTGTGGTTTCTCAAGAGCCTGGAGCAGTTTATTTTCCTCTATCAACTTATGGCCAGATGAAACTAGCTATCTCATGTACTTTTCACAGCAAAAGCTAACCTGCATGACTGCTACGGAAATTCTGTGGAACATACATCATTGTGAGATGAATAAGTTTAATGAATTTTGAAAACTGGTAGTGTGTTTGCAAACTAATGCAAGGCTGTGGGGAGAGCAGCTTTTAAAAAAGAAATGTAAATGCACTCTTTTATGCCTTTTTCCTGTTCCTTATGCTCCAGCCAGGCCTGTTGCCTAGCTGAGTGGTTCTCAACCTTTCCAGACTATTGTACCCCTTTCAGGAGTCTGATTTGTCTTGCATACCCCTAAATTTCATCTCAGTTAAAAATGACTAGCTTACAAAATTAGACATACAAATACAAAAGTGTCACGGCACACTTTTACTAAAAATTGCTGACTTTCTCATTTTTACCATATAATGATAAAATAAATCAACTGGAATATAAATATTGTATTTGCATTTCATTCTATAGCATATAGATCAGTATAAACAAGTCACCATTGTCTGTATGAAACTTTAGTTTGTACTGTCTTCTAGTGATTTTTATGTAGCCTGCTGTAAAACTAGGCAAATATCTAGATGAGTTGATCTACCCTGTGAAAGACCTCTGCATACCCTCCAAGGATATACCTTCTCCTGGTAGAGAACTACTGGCCTAGCTGCTCCCTTTGTCCATTCCTAACTTCATGCCTTCTTTCAAGCAGTCTAGCATGCTTGGAATGATGTTTCACTTATAATATGACAAACTTTCTCTTGGTTTATCTCTTGAGAAGTCTTTTGCACATCTATTTTGTGAGGTGGTCCTGTAGTTTTTGTTTCATTTGGTACTGTAACTGCAAGTGTTTTTTGGAATCTAGCCTCTTCAAGACAGGATCTTGATTGTTTCTCACAATTCACCTATTGTACAAGGCAGTGTACATTTGCTGCACTATACAAAACTTGGGGGTTTGGACTACACATCCCTACTTCAACCAGGCTGGGTTTATTGTAGGTAGGGAGAGCTACATTCACAGCTCAAATCCAAAAGCTGATTCAGTGTTGACATGGGCCAGTCTTTGAGCTGCCTTCATTTAGGACCAGAGAACACTGACTACTAATGTGACTATAATTTTCACAGCAGAGAAAGATGCCCTCCTTTTCTTAGAGTGAGAATAGTTGCACTATTCAGTACTAACAGTTTCAAACAAAAAATATTATACAAAATAAAGGAATAAAAGGTTGAAATTGTGTTCATATCTGTGTGAAACTCTGAAACCAGAACAAATGATCTCTGGCAGTTACAGTATATTTTTTTAATCTAGCCTTCATTTTCTTCTTCACAAAAAAACTTGAGCATTGAGATATGAGTTTTAGTTTGGCTGACAACTTATTTCTTGTTTCAGAGTAACAGCCGTGTTAGTCTGTATTTGCAAAAAGAAAAGGAGTACTTGTGGCACCTTAGAGACTAACCAATTTATTTGAGCATGAGCTTTCATGAGCTACAGCTCACTTCATTGGATGCATACCGTGGATACTGTAGCAGACTTTATATACACACAGAGATCATGAAACAATACGTCCTCCCACCCCACTGTCCTGCTGGTAATAGCTTATCTAAAGTGATCATCAAGTTGGGCCAAGAGTGGTCAGTTTGGATGAGCTATTGCCAGCAGGAGAGTGAGTTTGTGTGTGTATGGGGGTGGGGGGGTGAGAGAACCTGGATTTGTGCTAGAAATGGCCCACAGAGAGTTGTCACTTTGGATGGGCTATTACCAGCAGGAGAGTGAGTTTGTGTGTGGGGAGGTGGAGGGTGAGAAAACCTGGATTTGTGCTGGAAATGGCCCAACTTGATGATCACTTTAGATAAGCTATTACCAGCAGGACAGTGGGGTGGGAGGAGGTATTGTTTCATGATCTCTGTGTGTGTATATAAAGTCTGCTGCAGTATCCACAGTATGCATCCGATGAAGTGAGCTGTAGCTCACGAAAGCTCATGCTCAAATAAATTGGTTAGTCTCTAAGGTGCCACAAGTACTCCTTAACTTATTTCTTAACTTTTATCTCTTCTGCCTCTTTTCCATGAAATAGTCTGTGAATGGTGGTAAATGACAGTGGTCCAGGAAGCATTCACAATCTGCTCAGACAAAACATGTGGGTGGTCAGTCAGGTGAGAATTTTCATATCACCCATTCAATCAGCCTGAAAGACAAAGGCTCATTGCACTCCGTGTTAGAATAGAGACCTTTGTTATTTGATGTGCAGGAACGGCAGCGGTGACTGACACTGATGCTTGTATTGCATCCAACTCTGGATGCTAGTCACAGAATGACTTGCATCATTTTTTCTGCCACTCGATGAATGTGAAGGAAATCGTGAAAGCTGATTGAAAGTTGTAGCCAAAGCTGCTTGGTGTCATGTATTTCTGCCTTGCTCGAATCTCTTATTCGGGTGGGTTGCAGAGAGAAAGCAGTGATTCTTCTCAGTGATCAGGGGCCACTGTGCATCAGCCCTAAGAGCAGGGAGTTTTCTTCTGTGCTTTTGATGCTCCCTTTGGTGCTCAGCTAGCATGAAGCAGCTGGCATTGTGGTGGAAGGACTTAGTAGTTGTTGGCTGCAACAGGCCCTTCCCAGAGAGGGAGGTGAGAGGTTGAAATGGTGACAAGCGAAATGGGGAAGGGCACAGGGAGGAAGTGAAGGGTAATGGGAAGCAGGATAGGATGGGGGAGGCTGCTGCAGGCTCCTGCTACCCACCAGCAGCCCTCTCCCAGGCTTTCACTCCAAGATCCTTGCAATGAAGGCCATGCATGCTATAGGCACTTCTTTTGGTCGGAGCCTCTCATGGTTGGCTTCAACGGGCTTGATCCCAGGAAGTCAAAGCATTTGCAACATCCATTAATATCAGCAGGATGTTGAGGATGCTCAAACAATGCTCAGGACCAGACCCAAAATTAGCTTTGACTCCTGGCCTGAGTCCATCTTTTTCTGTATTTCTGTTACACCTCATATTTAGTTTTAAGCGGTTCTGGAAAAGCTTGTAGCATAACTGCATCACTTTGACTCTTATATTCAGAACTTACTATGCAAAGCTTAGGTGGCCGAGGAGCCTTTCCCTAGAAACTTTCTTAATGGCATGCATGATTTATACTGCATACTCAATAGTTTTCTTATAATGAAAAAACATCAGTCTGATGCTTTTACCACTTTCAGATATGAT